TTCATAAAATCACTCTTAGCTCAATGAATATTTTCCAAAATGTATACTAAAATAAACAGTTTCGAATCAGAATTAAATGCTTTTCAAGATAGAACAGGTTTTAAACCAATATCTCAAGCGGTTTTTAAGATATGAGGCTTTAAAGTGTATGTGGCAGAGGCATTTTTTAAACCAAAAGGCACACGAAATCACTCTTAGCTCAATAAATATTTTTCAAATTTCATACCAAAATTAACAGTTTTAAATCAGAATTGAATGCTTTTCAAGATAGAATAGGTTTGAAATCGATATCTCAAGCGGTTTTCAAGACAGTGTTGCCAGATGAAATAGAAAAATTTCGTGAGAATCGAGAAAGAAAAATCGTGAGATTAAAAATTGTTTAATATTGTAAGAAAATAAAGCACAACAATGTTTTTTCATAGATTATTGATAAAGTAAACATGATTTTACATCCATAAGAAATAAACATTTTATTATTAAATCTCGCATCCTTCTATTTTCCGTTTTTTAGCAGGTGTTTTTGAGAGTTGAACCTCGTTTTCACTATCCGCAGGATTCAGGATTGCTCATTCTAATAAGGCGTACGTTCGGCAATTCTCGAGCCGGCAGCTGGTCTGCGAGTGACATCACCACTATCAGCAGCTGATAGTGGTAGCGGTACCCGCAGACCTCGATTGATTACTTGTGATTCAGGCTGAGCTTGTGAGTTAATTTTTTTGGGAATTTTAAATTTAGAAAAGGGAATTTCAACGTTCATGACTTCGTTTGAGAGTTGAGGTCTGCAGCTGACGTCACAAATAGTGGGATCTCGTGGACTTGGCATACACTTTCAGCTCAATAAGCAGTCCTAGGTTAAGTGTTCTTGGGCGCGCATGTACCAGGAACGGCGTAACGTAACTAAATATTGTATAGTAGATTTTTTTTTCGATTATTTTCGATTACATTATATTTGATTATTGATTTGTATTACTACAGAGAGAATTCGTAAGAATTGCTACCTCATTCGTGAGATCGTGAAATTCAGGCCAAAATCGTGTAATCTTACGAATAATCGTGAGATCTGGCAACAAGATATAAGGTTTCAAAGTGTATGTAGCTCAATGAATATTTCCCAAATTTTATACTAAAATAAACAGTTTCGAATCAGAATTGAACGCACTTCATGACAGAATAAGGTTCAAACCGATATCTCAAGGGGTTTCCATGAAGCTTCAAAGTGTATGTGGCAGGGGCATTTTTTAAACCAAAAGGCATACGTGTGTATACACAAAATCACTCTTAGTCCTTAGCTCAATAAATATTTCTCAAATTTTCTACTGAAATCAACAGTTTCGAATCAGAATTGGATGCTTTTCGAGATAGGACAGGTTTGAAATGCATATCTCAAGTGTATGTGGCAAAGGCATTTTTTAAACCCAAAGGCACATAAAATCACTGTTAGCTCAATAAATATATCTCAAATTTCATACTAAAATTAACAGTTTCAAATCAGAATTGAATGCTTTTTAAGATAGAACAGGTTTGGAATCAATATCTCAAGTGGTTTTCGAAATATAAGGTTTCAAAGTGTATGTGGCAGGGGCATTTTTTAAACTAAAAGTTATGTTGTGTATACCTACACAAAATCACTCTTAGCTCAATGAATGTTTTTCAGATTTTATATTAAAATTAACAGTTTCGAATCAGAATTGAACGCTTTTCAAGACAGAACAGGGTTCAAACCGATACCTCAAGGGGTTTTCATGAGGCTTCAAAGTGTATGTGGCAGGAGCATTTTTTAAGCCAAAAGGCATGCGTGTGTATACACAAAATCACTCTTAGTCTTCTTAGCTCAATAAATATTTCTCAAATTTTATACTGAAATTAACAGTTTCGAATCAGAATTGGATGCTTTTCGAGATGGAACAGGTTTGAAATCGATATCTCCAGCGGTTTTCACGATATAGGGTTTCAAAGTTTATGTGGCAGGAGCATTTTTTAAACCAAAAGGTATATGTGTGTATACACGAAATCACTCTTAGCTCAATGGATGTTTTTCAAATTTTATACTAAAATTAACAGTTTTGAATCAGAATTGAATGCTTTTCATTGAAGAAAAGGTTTCACAAGCGGTTTTCAAGATATGAGGCTTTAAATTGTATGTGGCAGGAGCATTTTCTAAACCAAAAGGCCTGCGTGTGTATACATACACAAAATCACTTTTAGCCAGTGGTGCACCCAAGGGGGGGTTTGGGGTTAATATTCCCCCCCCCCTCTGAAAGAATTTTCCAGTAAAATTATTCTTATAATTGGCCCATAAGGTAAATGGATGACATTTTCCATCTCAATTTGCCTCATTTTATAGATAGATCGGGCCATTCCAGGTACGTGTAGTTTATAATTCATTGTTCAACACTAATCACTTGACGGATCCATGATCCATTTACAATTCGACAACTAAACACCTGGACTTGCTACTAATCAAAATGTAAACCGGCCTTTAGGCTGTCAATGTACACTTGGCCAATCATAAAACTGGTACGCATTTTCCTATTGTGTAAATCGACCTTTTTTATCACCTCAATAATGACAAAAAGAGTCAAGTCAGTGTCATATTTGAACCAATCATAACATAAAAACATGTTGCATATACTTTTATTCAGCTTTGACGTTGACAAAAACGGTCTGACCTAAGTTTTTCACTATCTGGATTTATCTGAAGAGACTTTTTGTTGTTAAGCCTGACTCACACTAGGCAAATTTAAAAAATATATATTGCCTGTACCAGTTTTATGTTTGGCCAAGTGTATGCCAGGTTAGCTTCTTTGATTTTTTAGAGTGTTGAAGAGGGTGCGAGAGGGAAATCACCACAAAAAATTGTACACCATAATTCCCCTTCCGGAAAAAATTCCCTAAAATTCCCCAAAAGTATTCGAAATTTCCCAAAATACCTACCAACTTTAGAAATTCCCTGGAATTTCACTAAATTTCCCTGTAGTCTCCAACATTTCTCGGAATTCCCCGAAATTCCTTCAAAATTGTCCGAAATTCTTTTAGCACCATTTGATAATTAGACGGATCGTAGCAATAAATTAGACCATAAAAAATTTTGTATTCATGTTGTGGGATATTTTTGTGTAGAACAGTACGGCAGTTCTCTTCACAGATTGCAAATTTCACGTGCACGTTTGCCAAATTGTGAAGATTTTGAAAGAATTTTGTGAAATATTATGGGATATACGACTGAAATTCCTCAAAATTCCTCGAAATACCGTCGAAATTTCCCGAAATACCCCTAAATACCCCAAAATTCCCCAAAATGTCTCGAAATACTTTGAAATACCTTGAAATTCCCCTACAATTCCTTGCCTTTGTACACTTAAATACCCCAGTAGTGTCCCCCTTGAGAAGGTGCGATGTTTTCTGTAATCTGTGGAATTATTGGTACGTATAAGTACCTTTTCCATAGGTGCCCTTTTCTTCTGAATTCATAATGAGGTTCTGTGTAGGGATGGCAAAATAAAAAAATATATCGATATATCGAATCATATGATATATCGAAATAACATATCGATACATTCGATATATCGAACAAAAAAAATTTTGAATATATCGATATATATTTTATTTTTCCATTTTTTTCGACGAGCGTGGGAAAAGTGCTTTTTTTCTGCATGCATTTCAGGCCATGAAAATATCACTTTTCCGCACTAGTGTGGAAAGGTAAAATAATTATGTAATGTTAGGTCACCCTAGCTGGTACTTTCATGTCCTAAAATGCGTGCGGAAAAGTACTTTTCCGCACAATCGTAGAAAAATATCATTCCCTAATCATGCGGAAAGTCTCTTTTCCTAATTCAGTTGGTACGTACACGTCCTAACTGACGTATGTTTTATTTTAGCCGCCACTGTCAACTGTCAGACTCTCACAATCAACAAATGAACTATGCGCACGAGCCAAGAATTATTTTAAAATTTCCGATATATCGAAAAGGTTATATCGATATTTTTTTCGATATATCGAATGTAGAATATCGATTTAAATATATCGATATATTTGAATAATATATCGATACCTATTTACAAAATATCGATATATTTTTGCCATCCCTAGTTCTGTGTTGTCAACTAAAGAGAAACAGAGTATACTTAGTCGATATATTCACTATACAAAGTGAAATACCTACTTACTTAAAATTTGTATTTGAATAGGTACCATTTACTAAGTAAGCATTATTCCACTCAAAAATTCAATATCTAGTTTCGACATGGGGATTTGCAAATAACTAAGCATTGAAACTCATCAAAAAACTAGAAAATAAAATTTTTAAATGTATTCACAAACTTCCACTTCTAGAACCAACTATTAATTCATATAAACTCCTTGGTTATCTGAGTTCACAGTTATAGAATTCGAAAATCATGATATTAAATTGAACAAACTGCTTACAAAACAAAAAATATCAGATTTAAATCTTTAAAAAAGAATGATAATTTACATAATTATGTAATTCGTAAAAATAAAAATTTAAAATATTATAATCTGAAACCAATATACCCAGGCATTAAAATCTACAATCTATAATTTCATGATGGATTACCCTCAAAAATGGAAAATTTGGCTGATAATGTAGTTGCTGGCCTAATGCCTGAAAAGTCTAGAAGCGTGTATGAAAAAACCTAGGAATGCTATACCTACATATTTTTTTTCATTATAGTACTCAGTACTATAATGAAATCATTATAGTACTCAGGACTATAATGAAATCATTATAGTACTCAATCCAATAAAGTATGTCATTATGACACTACAAATGAAGTCTATAATAATGTCATTATGATACGCCGGAATATAAAATTAATTTAGAGATGTCTGCCGATTCCTGTTTGATTGCATTGCACTTTTGCAGTCAGTGACAATTGACAGATAATCAATGCTTTAAACGTCAACTGTCAAAAAAAATAGCACCTATACATATAGTGCAATCAAAGCTTTATAAAGTTTAAATTTCTTTCTTTAGGACGAAGAAAATTGCGTCAAATCCAACAGCACAACAAAACCGTTGCTCGGCAGTAGCAGCCTAAGCAACCGATCTTCCCAATCGTCAGAAACATCGGGATCTTCGGGGAGAATTTTCATGAATATTGACAATAGAAGAATGTCGGTAAATAAAGATTCAATAAAAAATATTCTCGTATCGATTTTCAAATGAATTATTCTCCAGATAGAAACTTCAGAACCTGAATCGACCGAAGAACATCAGCTGTTGCTGAACTGCGCACACAAAAAGTACAACAGGCCTGAAGATGCCAGAAGAGCGAAACCTGCCATCGTTAAAGTAACAGTGCAAACCAAAGAAATTGTTCTCTAATAATTTTTAAGTGATTATATATTTTTTTTAAATGCTTTTATTAATATTAGAGATGTTACAGGTAAATAATTGTCCAAAATCCAAAAACCGTAACATCTCTAATTGAAGGCCGGTTTATTCAACTTCTGATAAATTGTCCAGCTAACTTGCAAATAGCTTATCCGAAAATGCATAAACCGGGCCTCAAAAACATTACCTCAAAAGAGAAAAAAAAAAAAGAAACAAAAAGATATTTTTTTATTTATATATATTTATTAACATCTCCTAGCTGCTTTGTGATTATTTCATTGTGATATTTTATTTTAAACGCAATCCAGTCACAAATTTATTTTGCAATTAACTCGTATAGATAGGTACAAAGCTAATTGAATATTTGCATTCCATTTTATGTGCGTGGCAAAATATAGGGTGTTCCATCCAAAAATTGCCAAATTTCTAAACAATTATCCAAAAAAATTAAGCCAAACAATTACTATAGCGACAACTAATAGATTTGTTCAAGTAATTGTGACTTGTTGTCCATTGGAAAAACAAAATTTTGAATGAAACGTGATATCTTTTTGGATTGGACACCCGGTATACATAGATAATATTATAAAATACAGATATCAGTGACAAACAGGGTCAAGTTCACACTCAAAAACAATCACTAAATTAGTATTTGTATATGCATTCAAGTGACATTAACTTAAATTATTTTTAATAGAAGACAGGGTGGCTCATTGAAAGAAAAATTATTAGTACTGAGACACCCTGTATACATAAAAGATATCCCATTTCAATCTCTCTTTAAGGAACAATTTGGTACAATTTTACTCTTATTAAAATCTCATAAATGTCAGTATTATTAGTTGAATAGATAATATTATACAGGGTGACTGAATGTAGTTAATTTGATCAAAGTTTTGGACACCTTATATAATATGAGAAAATATTTTATTATATAAAAATGCTATAACTGTTTTCGGTTTTATGATGTAGAAGGATTTGTTTTTTTTTTTGCTCAAATGTACCGGGTGTCAAGTTATAAAGTACCACTTCCTGTAACTTTTTTATGTTTATGTACGATCAAAAAGTTAAGGGGTGGTACTTTATAATTTGACACCCTGTATATCTCAATAATAGGGAATTCTCATAAGAAATAAATATGGTTCATTAATATGTATAACATGTAGCACATTTTCCTGTAAAATATTAAATATGAGCAGTTTTGCGTTTAATTTATCGATATTATTCTCATACGGCAATTATTAGTTTCAAATTGAAAATTTTCGTGCGGAAAAGCTAAGTTCAACATGGCCGCTTTCGGTGACGTCAACTGTTTATAAACCAAGGTTAAGGGTAGTTTACACTGACCGTGAATAACGAACGTGGTCCACGCTTTCATGGTTCATTCTTGGGTCCTGAAGAACGATTGGTCCACGAACAGCTCACTTCACGCCACGACTGATATTGAACCACCATAAATGGGTCTATAGAAGATTGTCAGACTGCGCTTCTGTAAATCCTGTATAAATCATGACAAACTAACTAAAATACAAAATGTCACAATACGCCAAATACAGGAACACCTCGTAAAAACTGCATTCAATGCAGTCAAAGGTGAGAGCAATTCTTTCTGACAGTTTGCAAAGTGTCAGAGACTCTCGTGAGAACAGACCTTAACGTTGCATTTACAAACAGTTGACGTCACAAGTACCGACATCTTGAAGGTAATCGTTTTCGCGCCAACGGAAATAATTTGAAATTTTATATATTCTTTTTATTTTAACGAGAACATAATACAAAAGAAAACATATGTATTTTATATTTGGAAACATAAGCAATAAGAAAAAAGATAATTTGAAAAATATGATTGTTCCCTATTGAGCAAAAAAATTAAGATAAATCTTTCAAGTTGCTACATGTATAAAAATAATATGTTAGATTTTAGGCGTTAGGAAAATATTTGTCAGTCAGAGAAAACTCCGAGAAAGTCGGAAATGTAACGTTTTCGTTGTATCTACAACAATAAGTTTTTTCTGCAAAGAAATGGCGTTACATTTCAAACTTTCAGAGTGTGAGCAATTTTTTGAAAATCATTCTAAAAAATCATAATCATGTTTCAGTATATAAATTGAATGTTACAAAAAAATCAAATGTGTTTTATTTTGAACCCAATCGAGTAACAGAACTAGAAACTGGTTACGTATAGGTTTTTTACGTTATATTTAGGATGACGTCAGAGAACAAAGGACTGACAATGTTGTCAATGCCTATCTGTTTTCTTATAATTTACCAGAATGTCAAGACCACTGACAGCTAAAAATAATGAAATCAATCGACACGCGTTATTTATTTGAGAATGTTCATTTAAATCATGCAACATAGCGCACTATTGCCAACCAGAAACATCTGAAATTCCCCTATTTTAAATGCGTTAAGAAGTACTTTAAGATTTGTTAGATTTGCAGCAGAAATTCACTAAATGTGACGTAATCCTAAATATAGCGTGAAAATCCTATACAGATGCACTGTGCGGTTCCATGAAATAACAGAACATGAAATAACAGAACATGAATGAACAGAACGTGAAAAAGCAGAACATGAAAAAACAGAATACTGAAAAAACAGAACAGTGATAAAACAGAACAAGGAAAAAACAGAACTATGACATAACAGAACCGAGAAAAAAGAGAACACTGAAATAAGAGAACCTTGACAAAACAGAACAGATAACTTTGTTGAGAGGGGTTGTATGTTAATGAGATCGGTGGTTAAAGTTTAAAAATGTAACAAAGAAAACACAATTACTCCCATATTATTCAATTGTTCAGGTTAGTCGGGTTTGAATATAAAATTTAATAACAACAACTGGAAAAAATAAAGGATGAAAAACACAAAATACCTAGAATATTTTTTCACTTATGTATATATTAAAAAAAAAATTACTGTAAGTTTGCCATTCGCCGCAAATACACCAGTTTATCATCATAATTTTCATATTCTTCCACAACTGCTGCCACTTGATTGCTGAGGTTCTCATACTTCTTCTTCCGTACTTCTGGGCGACCAGTTGCTGCATTGGATAGCAGCAACCGTTGGTAGGCAATGTCTCGCCTTAATCCATCTAGCAAATTCCATATGCTAGGATGGCTGCAGTGGAAGATGGAGTTCAAAGCGTTGTGGAAGCCTTCACAACAATTTGTTGTTTTTGGGCTTCTTTCGGCAGCGGCTCCGAAATGGTTCCACAACCCGATTGGAAATTGCGGTGATCTTCCAGCAGCGCCCTCTATGTATGTTGAGAAGAAATACGTCAACACGGCGTTGTGGCCATCATCATCGGGAAAAGTTGCTGCTAGGTCATCAAATACAGATCGCACGTCGTGTTCTGGTACAAACGACAGTGCAGCCAGAGACTTCAGTTTCAATTTCACGTCAATATCAGACTCATAATCCGTTTTCAAGCCAGCACTATTAATTTTCCGTAACAAACTCTGGGGATAGATGGAAGTAGCATCCCTTAATTTCTGCTTCTGGGAAGGCGGTTCGAGCAGCAGAAATGCATGCTTTCTCAAAATCAACCAGAATCTTCTGAGGTGCGATGCTGGGCACTAAATCCTTTAATATTGTGAACATTCGACGGTATGTATCGCAGTTCTTTTTTTGCAGCAAAAAGTAAATGCAAGGTGGATAGCTGTTGCCAACTTTAGCATGCCACGTATATAGTTGGTAAAACATGTTGGGGGCTTTGTTGAATGTTCCGTCTCCATAGATTATAGCCTTATCCAATTCTCGCAGCAATTCTCCATTCCCAATTACCAAAATCCTTTCTTGATCGTCCGCTCCTGTGTCGTGCAGAATCAAGTCCGCATAATTTTCATGGATCCGAAAATTTGTTGTGGTCGGATTCGGAATATGAGCCGTTTTCTTGTGGTTGAAAAGATTTCTGGTCAAGGAAGATTGCTTTGGCAAATGTTCCAATACATCGCAACTTAGGTTGGTTAATACATGTCCCAATACATTTCTTGGAGTTGCACCAACTGCCTTCATGTCACGCTTCAATATGGCCTTAATAATATTAGCCTGAGCTACTTGCGGTTTGGAATCATGACAATGTTGTGGAACCTCACCAATTATGTTGTCTTCTTGGGATCTCAAGAAGGCCTTACACTTGGTAGAATAGTAGATTCTGCACCTCCACATGATGACTCCACTTTTGTTTTCTCTGTACTTCGTATATTCATACCCTTGGTACACAAGAACCCTATTTCCCTTCTGCGTGACAGAATATTCCATTGCAATGATAGGTGAAATAAAGATTAAACACAAAATACACAGAAAAAAGCAATTTTACCAGTTGTTCTTATTTTTCAGAGTTCTGTTTTGTCAAGGTTCTCTTATTTCAGTGTTCTCTATTTTCTCGGTTCTGTTATGTCATAGTTCTCTTTTTTCCTTGTTCTGTTTTATCACTGTTCTGTTTTTTCACTGTTCTGTTTTTTCATGTTCTGCTTTTTCACGTTCTGTTCATTCATGTTCTGTTATTTCATGTTCTGTTCCGTCCGGTTTCCGCACTGTGCACAGGCTATGTTTACTGTGACGTCAGCAATGGTCCTGTCACAAATTGCACCAGTACTCTTCCATCTCACTTTTCTCCGTAGCTCCCTTTCTCTTTCGCCAATTGCACAATACAATAAACCCTTTCACGTATTTTGAATTCTGATTTCAAAATATTCAAACCTCAATTGCTCAGTAACCGTTGATCAAATTGCATTAAAATTTCCAGAATTTGTAGCTTCTATCAAGTTCTAAATGGCATGTAATTTACAATATTTCCAGATTTCTAGTTTTTGAGCAAACTGAGTTTGAAGTTTTTGACAAAATTTGGACTAAAAGTCAACTTTGAGGCTCAATTGCTCAAAAACTATCCGAGCTATCGAACTCAATTTTGCACGATTTATAGAGAATTTAGGGCTCTTTGCAATGATGTATAATTTATTTTAATTTGCTCAAAATTTACCAAAGATATGGGCAATTATTCATGACCAAGTCAGGATTTTGAAAATTTTCCATAGCCAAAAAAAAGGATTTTATTTTTATTTTCGTGATTGCTTAAAATGGCCATTTGGAATTGAATAAGGGTGTTTTCCACTAATTTTGACCCGCTCTATCGATTCATAAAGTCAAAATTGAGCAAAACTAAAAAATAAAAAAATCGAATTTTTCATAAGGGTATACCGTTTGAATTCTGATTTCAAAATATTCAAACCTCAATTGCTCGGTAACCATTGAGCAAATTGCATTGAAATTTCCAGAATTTGTAGCTTTTATCAAATTCTAGATGGTCTGTAATTTACAATATTTCCAGATTTATAGTTTTTGAGCAAATTGAGTTTGAAGTTTTTGACAAAATTTGGACTAAAAGTCAACTTTGAGGCTCAATTGCTCAAAAACTATCCAAGTTATCGAACTCAATTTTACACAGATTTATAGAGAATTTAATGCTCTTTCCAAAGATATGGGCAATTGTTCATGACCATGTCAGGATTTTGAACATTTTCCAGAGCCAAAAATAGGATTTTCTTTTTATTTTTGTGTCTGCTTAAAATGGTCATTTGGAATTGATATCAGGGTTGTTTTCCACTAATTTTGACCTGCTCTATCAATTCATAAAGTCAAAATTGGGCCAAACTTAAAAATTAAAAAATCGAATTTTTCATTCTCGAATTCTGCTTTCAACATATTCAAACCTCAATTGCTCGGTAACCGTTGAGCAAATTGCATTAAAATTTCCAGAATGTGTAGTCTGTAATTCACAATATTTCCAGATTTTTAGTTTTAGTTTTTGAGCAAATTGAGTTTGAAATTTTTGACAAAATTTGGATTAAAAAGCAACTTTGAGGCTCAATTGCTCAAAAAGTATTCGAGCTATCGAACTCAATTTTGCACAGATTTATAGAGAATTTAAGGCTCTTTTCAATGATGTATAAATTATTTCAATGTGCTCAAAATTTATCAAAGACATAGGCAATTGTTCATGACCATGTCAGGATTTTGAAAATTTTCCAGAGCCAAAAATAGGATTTTCTTTTTATTCTTGTGTCTGCTTAAAATGGCCATTTGGAATTGATATCAGGGTTGTTTTCCACTAATTTTGACCTGCTCCATCAATTCATAAAGTCAAAATTGAGCCAAACTTAAAAATTAAAAAATCGAATTTTTCATAAGTGTATCCCCTTTGAATTCTGATTTCAAAATATTCAAACCTCAATTGCTCGGTAATCGTTGAGCGAATTGCATTAAAATTTCCAGAATTTGTAGCTTTTATCAAGTTCTAAATGGCCTGTAATTTACAATATTTCCAGATTTATAGTTTTTGAGCAAATTGAGTTTGAAGTTTTTGACAAAATTTGGACTAAAAGTCAACTTTGAGGCTCAATTGCTCAAAAACTATCCGAGCTATCGAACTCAATTTTACACAGATTTATAGAGAATTTAATGCTCTTTCCAATGGTATATAATTTCTTTTAATTTGCTCAAAATTTACCAAAGATATGGGCAATTGTTCATGACCAAATCAGGATTTTGAAAATTTTCCAGAGCCAAAAATAGGATTTTCTTTTTATTTTGGTGTCTGCTTAAAATGGCCATTTGGAATTGATATCAGGGTTTTTTCCACTAATTTTGACCCGCTCTATCGATTCATGAAGTCAAAATTGAGCAAAACTAAAAAATTAAAAAATCGAATTCTTCATAAGGGTACCTACCTACCCACTTTGAATTCTGATTTTAAAATATTCAAACCTCAATTGCTCGGTAACCGTTGAGCAAATTGCATTAAAGTTTCCAGAATTAATTTGTAGCTTTTATCAAATTCTAAATGGCCTGTAATTTCCAATATTTCCAGATTTCTAGTTTTTGAGCAAATTGAATTTGAAGTTTTTGACAAAATTTGGACTGAAAAGCAAATTTGAGGCTCAATTGCTCAAAAACTATCCGAGCTATCAAGCTCAACTTTGCACAGATTTATAAAGAATTTAAGGCTCTTTTCAATGATGTATAAATTATTTCAATGTGCTCAAAATTTATGAAAGATATAGGCAATTGTTCATGACCATGTCAGGATTTTGAAAATTTTCCAGAGCCAA